AACACAACAACACAACAACATCATCATCAACAACAACAACACAACTACATCATCATCAACAACAACATCATCATCAACAACAACATCATCATCAACAAACACAACAACACAACAACATCATCATCAACAACAACAACACAACTACATCATCATCAACAACAACAACATCATCATCACCACCACGACCGTTATCTTGATTTAATAATTTTTTCCATTTCCTTATAACCATCATTTAGAGCAGCATAATGTCCTTCTAATCACTATCAGGCATTCAAAACAACTGAAACATCATATCATCATCGTCATCTTCATCATTTCATCGTCGTCATCATCATCATTGTCAGTGTCGTTATTAGAGGCCTGCATGGGAAACCATCCCGCGGGAAAACCGCGGGAAACCCGCGGGAATGGAAAATATTTTCAAGGGTACCCGCGTTAGCGGGAAAAAAAATCGGTAAAATACCGCGGGAATAATGGGAATGGGAAATTTTTTCCATTAGCAAGTTACATACGTAATTTAATTTTTAACTTACTTTTTTTAAAACTGTTTAAATTTCTTTGCTTCATGAAAATAGTTCTTTGTTTACGTTTGTTTTACGAGTCTTCATTCTCCATCTTTCATTGCGGATAGTTTGGTTATTTGTTCTAAGATAAGTTTGTTTTCTAGTCAAAATTTTAATTTAGTTTCTAATTTATTGATATTCGTTTCAATGGAGCGATGCGATCTTCTCAAACTGATTGCTAGTAAAAGTGAAGCAATAAAGTTTATTCCGAATAGCAATGCAGTCAGTCCTATTTGGGGAAACTTTGTGTTGGTAAATGTGGAAGATGTTTACAGCAATTTTATTGAATGCATTAACTGCAAAGTTTTATTGAAGTGGAAGAAGAGAGATGGAACCAGCGGACTGATGAACCACACAAAGGCCTGCCTGAAAATAAACGCCAAAATTGCTTAACACTAGATTTCTGATGGGCCAAAAAACTTTTTAGATGATTTGTTTGAAGATGACACACAAAACGGTGAAATATGTGAGATTGACTCATATATTAAAAACACAAAAACAACAACCGACATTTTTCAGTTCTGGAAAGAAAAGGTTGAAGATTTTATTTTTTGTAATATAAAGTGCTTATTGTTTTTTTTTGTTGCAAGGCTCCAACATGGCCTAAGTTATCAGCAGTAGCCAGAAGAATTTTAGCTGTTCCTGCAAAGCAGCACATCTTCTGAGAGACTATTTTCATTAGCTGGTAGGACTATAGAGGATAGACGAACAAATTTCTCCCGATAGTATTGATAAACTTTTATTTATTAACAGCACATATTAAATCATTGACATTACTTTTTATAATAAATACTTATGAATTTAAATATTATTTTCATATCTTAATAAACTGTATTTAAATTTGATTTTTGTTGCCGCGGGAATGGGAAGCTTATGGTGCGGGAAGGGAAGGGAACAAAGTCATGAGGGTGAGTGCGGGTGAGGGAATGAATACTTTTTGAAGGGAAGGGTGAGGGAATGAAAATGTCTTCCCGCGCAGGCCTCTAGTCGTTATCATCATTAGTATCATCATCCTTTCATGGTCATCATCATCATCATCAGTTTGGTCATCATCATTAGTATCATCATCGTCATCATTGTATCATCAATAATTGCCACCTCATTCCAACTTTGCACCCCCCTCACCCCCGTCTAATTTCATTTGACCCCCCCCCCACCAACCTCAGTCAACAACCACCACGTCTGCTCGATGAGGTTGCAATCACATAAGAGTCATACATACATACATACATACATACATACATACATACATACATACATACATACGAACATACATACTCCTCATTACATAATTAAATTTCAATGCAGCCATGTAAGGCACCTACTTTATTGTCATTAGCAATTACAAACATCGACGATACCATCATCGTCGTCGTCGTCATCACATCAGCTTTAATGACGTCATCATCATCGCCATCATCATCACCATTATCATCATAGAAACATCACCATCCTCATCAGTAGTATAATCCTCCTCATACTCACGTCATCATCATCCTGAA